ATTTATAAAACGGACAAGTCAAATCAAGCAATCTGATTGGTTCTTAGCCGTGATATACTGGGCGTATACCACGGGTAGAATTGTAAGTTACTTTTTACAACAAGTCAGTATCCCTCCGCGTCTGAGAAAAACAGTATACCGTTGGGCTGAAAAGCAAACGTCGGGCTGAAAAGCAAACGTCGGGCCGAACCACGCCCCTTAGCTGTGATATAATGAGCATATACCACGGCCTGTCGTGAGCTATTGCTTAAATATACAACCCTCCGGAGCGTTTGCAATTGCAGCTAATTGTTGTTTCTTACACGACCACTAGAGGTGCTAAACTTTTAAACGTGACTATAGGTCGTAATAAACTGCTGAATAATCAACCTATTTGGTCGTATGAGTTGGAGGACTTGTTGATTTCACTTCCTCTTTCAAAAGTGCTGAAGGTTTAAAAAAAAAAGGAAGGGGCTGAGCTCATACGGGACCCGGCAGCTACTGTCTAAACTAAATACTGCCGTGATGAAACGCCATATCATGGATTATCAAGGATTATTTCTGAAACAGTATGGAGCTCAAAGGCTTTCTCTCTTGCCGGTTATACCACAAGGTAAGTTCCTTTTTATTTCCTGCTTCTTCACACACATGCTCTCCAGTACAGGTTAGCTCTGAGTGTTAGCGATGCTAATGTAAACACCGACCATATTACGTCCAAAACAGTCGGGCATTGTTTCTCATAGCAACTTTCTGATAGTGCCGTGGGTCCACATTTCCGATAGTACGTCATATCGGACGCAAATTTGGATCAGCTCCATTGTACCCCCGTTTTTAGAGATTTAGGTACGGAGGAAAAGAGAGAGGGTTTTATTTTCTGATGCTGCGTGAGTTCCCCAAAACACCGGGGACACATATTTATGTATACTGTAAAAGACATCAAAAAGTGCATTTTGCATGACAGGTCCCCTTTGAAATAATACACGTATAATAACTCATGAGGAGGGAAGTGTTGCATTTTAAATATTTCCAATGCCATTTTTGAGCATTATGTGTGAGCTTTAGAAAGTTGAGGTGCATCTTGCTTCGACTCATTTATTCAATATTTCATAGTAAAATCTTCAACAATGCATCATATTTAATAAGATTATTTTACTTTGTTTTGTATGCGTCTCTAAAGTCAATTAGGAGTCATTTTTAAGCAGGTTTTCCACAGGTACAACTACAGTCAACAAGTATATGCTTTGTGTCTTCTACATTCATTCATCAGATTTCTGGCCAACGTCTTTGAGGAAATGACCACCACAGCTAATGGAAAATTGATAATAAATCATGCTCAACTTCAAATATTTTTCCAGAGTTTACTGAACATACAAGGAGAGGCCAAAGTATGATAATAATTAACATTTTATAACACAGGATTTCATTGCTGCACTGCAAATGTCACAACTACAGGAAACAAAAGACCTCTGTATGTGTCAGAAAAGCTAAAAGCATCATTAGGTCTGGAGAAAAGGTAATATCCATAATATGTGTTCTGTATGTGTTTGTGTGCCTCCTGTCTCCGCCTCTGACGCAGTATGTTGATGGGTGAACACCTCGTTCTGAAAATAACCATGCCCCTTGACCTGCAGGATGGTTTGGTAATAAAGTCGTATATAATGTGTGCTGTAATGCTTTCACAGATGGTGATGTATCTGCAGTTGTTGGCAGAGGAAAAGGTCTGCAAAACATTTTATCTGCGACCCGCACAGAGATCAAAACCCTGTTTTAATGTCTGGTCAGAGCTGAAGCCATGAAGGAGATGTATTGTCAGACAGGGGTACAGTAATTCAAGTGGCTGTACCCTCGCTGTTGCTCTGATGATTTCATGGAGATACTTGGATGTTTGAATTTATTAAAGCATAGCTAGTACATTTAGTCTTCTAAAATGAAAAAAGTCCTGCTGAAAACACTGATATTAGTTTTGTGTACTCTCTTAAGCCTTTGTTTTGCTTCTCTTTTTATGTCACATACCATTCAGATATTTCTATAAGTGACAGTGGAGGTTATAGTGGAACATTTTAGGTTTTCGAGCATTGATTTTGTGATTTGTTATTTTTTGTAGACGTCAAAGTTACGTGCTTGCTTGATTATATCTAAAGCGAAAATATCTTCTGAACATTTACCATCAAATACCTATGACAAGAGAGCAAAAGGGTAGTGAAAAGAAGCCTCAACAGACCAGAATGCATTGAGGTTGTGGATTATAGGAAAATGTCTCAACATCTCTTGAATGGGTTGCCATAAAATGTCCCATCTCACTTTTCATCTAGCGCCATTATAAAGGCAAATATCCCTTTGTCTATAACTTTAGTTTATGATCAAATTAATGCAAAAATAATGTTTCTCCCATCAGCCTTAGCGGTACTGTGGTTTGTGATGATTAGGAAATCTAAACATACAAAAATGCTTAAAGAAAATAAAATGTCTACATTGTAAACATTAGCATGCAGAATTGTAACCTGGTTAGTATTTAGCTCTTCATCAATACAGCCTAACAGTATGTTTAACCATAAACACAGTTGTTTCGCAACATTGACCAAGAAGTTGTTTTAACCAAAGTCATGCTCTAGGGTTTAGGATAACTAAACTTGTTGTCAAAGCAATGGAAGATCAGCAACCATTCATTGAAATGGTTTCGGAGAGAAAGATAAATGTTATCCTGCTTATTGTAGAAAAAACGTAATTTGTCTTTTGTCATCTATTTTTGAGGACTTGTTGAGGGTTGATATACTAGAGAATGCATGTTCAGGCATGTTTCCGAGGAGGATAATTACGTTAGGAAATGTTGCAGAAGTAGTGAAGGCAGATTGAGTAGATTTGTCAAGAAGTAAATGAAGCTTACTGACTGATGATTGTATGTTGGAAAGTTTCAGAGGATCTGATGATTAATATCAAAATGTTTGACCAACAGTTTGGAGTCAGACACTTGTTCCCTATGATTTTTTCAGTGCTCATTGTATTTGTCATTTATATGTAGTTAGTTTAAATTAGGAAGTTTGAGTTTGTGATACAATTGTATCAACATATATATTTTTTTTAATTCTGATTCTGATGTAAATTAAAGTGGACCTATTATGCTATATTGGAAAAATATTGTAGGGCCATACTTATACAAAACATGTCTGTGACGTTTTTTGCTTAAAATACCAAACAGATCACCCATTGTAGCCATGCCTCATACTGCTCAAACCCCTCTTTTACAGCCCTGTTAGAGAAACGCGGATTTTGGGGCCTTAGCTTTAAAAAAAAAAAAAGAGGAGGCGGAGCTAATGCCTGATCAGAATTCTACCAGAGATACTTTACTGGCGTTGATCCGGACCATTGGCCTTGTATAAAATTCACAAGTGGACCTTCAACAAAAACGTTTGAGTACCCCTGGTATATACAAATGAGAAGACTGTCACCATCTGCAAAAACATATGTCATGGTAAGATGGTAGCCTATTAAAGATAGACTAAAGGTTATTGAGACTGACAGTGGACAAATCATTTGTACATTTCAGTGTGTGCCCTCTTCAGGGAAGTTAAACAGTCCCAACTCCCATAGCAGCTGCCAGTGAACTTTTATTGTTCCACCATCAAGAGCCTACCAGTACTGCTGCACAGTGTGCTCAGCAGCTGCACAGGGAAAGAAGGGTGTTGAAGGCAGCTAAGGAGGTCATAGAGACCACACTACCACATCTGGAGGACATCCACAATGACCGATTACGAAAGAAAGACAGCATGATCCTAAAGTATTCTCACCAACCTTAACACTGCGTTTGCACCCCTCCTTTTTGCAAAGATACAGGACAATCTAAGGTTGCATTCGCACCAGCCTTGTTTAGTCCGGTTGAATCGAACCCTGGTGCGTTTAGCCGCTTGGTGCGGTTCGTTTGGGTTGGTGTGAACGCAGTCCGAGACCTCTGAAGTAAACTAAACAACCGGACTCTGGTCCTCTTAAAAGCAACAAGTCCTCCAACTCATACGACCAAATAGGTTGATTGTTCAAGCCATTATTACGACCTATAATCACGTTTTAAAGTTTTCGACCTCTAGTGCTCCCGTTGAATGCAAACGCTACGGAGGGTCGTATATTTAAGCNGCTTCCACAATCAAGACAAAGGTGCCAAAACCAGGACCAAAAGTAATAGTTAGAAGATCAATGAAATATTTTTGTGAAGAGTCATTTATAAAGGATGTTGAACATCCTTTATAAATGACTCTTCACAAAAATATTTCATTGATCTTCTAACTATTACTTTTGGTCCTGGTTTTGGCACCTTTGTCTTGATTGTGGAAGCGATAGCTCTGGCTTATGCGAGTCAGGGTTTGCAGGCACCAACGGGCCTGCGTGCTCATTCTACTCGTGGCCTGGCTACGTCCTGGGCTTTGTTCAAGGATGTTTCCATCCAGGACATTTGTGCAGCAGCGAGCTGGTCTTCACCGCTCACTTTTGTCCGTTTTTACAGATTGGATGTCTCTGCTCCAAGTGTGGCCCATGCAGTGCTGGGCCCCCATGTTGGGACAGAGTTCTACCTGTTGAGTACTGATTTTTGGTGATTTTCGAGATAAGCTTGTCTAGCAATACGGGAGTCTCAATATTCCATAGTGAGACATCGAACGGAGTGTTATGAATGAGAACTATAGGTTACTAACGTAACCCCAGTTCTCAGAGTAATATGAAGTGAGATGTCTCACCAGACAGCCCTTCTTGCTGAGGCGAAGCGAGAAGAGGTGCTTATTTTGAATGACGCTGCGTCGTAGCGCAAGCTACTTAAAGGGTGGGTGGATTCTCTGACGTGGTCGTCAAGATCACCAGCCAATCAGAATTGGCGTAATGAGATTGATGCTTCTGAGGCATACGCGGGGAGGCGCATCCCATAGTGAGACATCTCACTTCATGTTACTCTGAGAACTGGGGTTACGTTAGTAACCTATAGTTTTGCATATCTGGTCTGAAAGGAGTGGAAGGGGAGTTGGGGGGGGGACAGGGGGAAGGCGCTGCATTTGTGTGTGATGAGTGGGTGAGAAGATATGGTAATATGATGGCAGCTCTGTCATATGGTGTTAATTAGTTTTAGAGAGCCATATGTTCCCAGAGAGTAGGGCAGCTCAAAAAGACAACTCTTTTAACAACCAGTATTTATTCACATCAACACAAACAGCAGTTACAGTCAATACAGGTCTTCCAATTTCTTAGCGTGACAAATAGTTTCCGTCTTCCCTCAACACTGTAAGTAGGTAGCAATGGTGCATTCCATTAAACATGAGGGGCCCATAACCTGCACTCAGTGTCAACACAAGATTGGAGCCCCCATTATCCTGGCCATGCTTGGTGGATTCCTCTATTCTCCCCATTCTTTCGCACTTTGGAGGTGAGCTTTGTCCTCCAGGGGGNGGGGGGGGGGGGGGGGGGGGGAATGCTGGTCTACCAATCACTGTCTCTGTCTCAATGAGGCCACCAAACAAATACATTGCATCAAGTCACAGTCTATTAAATCCAGTTGACAGGAGTCGATGAAACATTCTCAGAGCGTGCTCATGCATTGTATAGTTTATGGATGGTGGAAATCAATGTTTCATTTCACCCAGAAAGGGAAAATAAAGGAAGTGCTGTGGGCCCCATGGAAAAGTAGAATTTTGATATAATGGAATCGTCTACTATTGCTGTCCAAGCCACCAGCTGGCTGTGTCGTTATGATCTATACCCGGCAATATAGGCTCACTATTCACCATGGCAGCATGATATTATATGATGTATTATAGCTTAGAGGGGGGTTGGTATAATACGAAACTGTTCAGCGGAAATGACAAAATGACAGAGACAGCCTGTCTGGAGGCAAGTGGGCCCAGTGCCTCGGTAAAACAGAGTCATCGCGTTGCCTTTCAGTTTACTTCCATCACGCTGTAAACTACCCTGTTGCACATACAGTACAGCAGGCATGAGCAGAGGATGTTAGAGGGGCATGGGGTCATATTTAGACAATTTGACGCCAGTGATTTTTGTTTCTTTTACATTCATCTTTTCATAGACAATTTTTTGGACGGTTCTTAGGGATAATAAAATGTATGTATTTAAAAACAAACCCATGAGAGGGGTTGGTTCAAACTCTGCTAAAGGACACTTCATTAATGCTTCATGCAAAGGAATAAGGTGTACAACTTTCTTAATTCAGATAATGCTTCAGTAATAAGAAGATGCTGATTTTGTACGGCTAAGATATATACTATTACTATGTGCCAACTGATTAATTTAATATAATTCACATAAATGTCATAAATCTTTCCAAATGCAGAGTATCAGTCAATGTTGTTATCCAAGCTTTAAATCTGGGCACATCTTTTGATTTCCATAATAGGAGAATACGTTTCTTTGCACACAGTAGACCATAGGACAGGAGATGAAGTTGTGCATTTCCAAGTTTGTTGCATTGTTCAGATGTGCCCAGTCAATAATGGATTGTTCTCGACAAGGTGTTGTTTTTCTTCCTCCACATGGGCTAAATGTAACTATACATGCATACCTTAAAATATACGTGTTTTTGCGACTTTGCAGACGCCGTTGTTGGAGGAGTGATCGGGTTGCTGTTTGCCTATATCTGCTACCGCCAGCACTACCCACCCTTTCTGCACACGGACTGCCACCTGCCTTACGCCAGTCTGGCTGCTGCTGCCCACCTGCACTCGCACCCCCAGGACGACCCGCAGCCCACGGACAATGCCACCAGCCTTCCCCTGGAGGGCCTGTCTGAAGGCCCAGTATGACTAGTGGCCACCACCGAGACGTCCCCCAACACCCTCACCAAGCCAGCGAGCCCACCTCCCCATTCCAAGTGACTGGCTGGCTCTTGAATACATTCCAGTGGACTTTAATAGGACGCACCCATCTACATACCCCCGTCTCGGTGACACCCATATGTTTATTTTTTTGGCTTATAAAAAATCTATATTTAGATGTGATGTATGAGAGGAGTTTATAAAAAATGGGACATCACCTCTGAGAGGGAAGAGAGAAAAACATGCTGAAAACCAGAGGAATCACGTTCTACTAATGGCGGTGAAGGAAGAGGAAAATATCTCCAGTTTTTGATGGATTTTTTTGGCTTGATGAGAAATGTGGTTGACAGGTTGTTTTATGTTGGAGTACATTTAATGTTTTGCTGTGAAGTATTGGGAAAGCAAGTTGGAGATACCCAGAAACATCCCATGAAATGTCACAGCAATCAGTCATGAAATCTAACCAGTTAAGAAGTATGTCCCCATAAATCAAAGCTAATGGGATTTAATAGCATGAAATCTGATGACATTGTGTTTCAGTCATACTTTAAAATGCACATTGCGTTTTCCTTTAAACACCCAAGGATTTGGAACAATGCTTTTTAAAATGTTCAATTGTCAATTGTGACATAAAGCTAGATATAGAACCAATTTGCTTTTGCACAAAATCACTGCTCGATATCAAGGAGAGTATTCAATGTTCCCCAACTTTACTATTCTACATTCGCCCATTTTTTATTATTATATTTCTCCCCATTGTATTTGGGCTTGTATAGGCTTCAGCAGTCCTGCATATTGTCCCTGCCCAATTTTTTTCCTTCTCCTTGTCTCCTTGTGTTTTAAAAGCCCTGCATTTGTTCCCAGTGGATGCACAGGGACATGAACCTAAATTGTAGCTCAATGAGTTCAATCTATAACAGGGAGGTGCCAGTGGTGGGGTGCAAGTGTGTCTGGAGTTGACAGACAAAAACTACAATCTGATCCTGCATTAGTTCTCATTAAGAGGGGTCAGCTACGGCTGCTTATGCGCACATTAGGACTATATGAGTTGGCCAATAGATGGCCCACGCATTTCAAATAGCTTTCAGCCCATTGTAGCCCCACAAAGAGATCATGTAGCATTCAGGAGATGGCAGCCCTGAACCCGGGGCAGCGATTCTGATGTTTTATTCATTTGTAAATGTTCCATTATTTATTAATATTTCCAGCCTTAATATAGTTATGTCGAAAGAAACACCAAAGATTTGTAGCTCTTTTCCTTTTTAGGTTGTATGCACCAACACTGGTTCCCCTATCATCTACAAAGCAATTGGTTGCCTCTTCCAAGTTCTGTCAGGAAGGACGAATCATTTTGTTGTCCTGGTTACTGTGTATTTTAAGCCATTGCTGTGACATTAATGGGAAGGTGCACTCTCAGCTTACCTCGAAACCAACCAAGCTACTGAAAAGGCAATGATTATATATATTTGCACTGAAAAGTGAATGGTGAAAAACTGGCGGTAGCACATGAAAACAGCATGATACAAAATGAGCAGCTAGCCAAACGTACTGTAGACGGTTATTTTGTCTTTTTATTATCTTGTCATATCAGTCAAGACACATATTTATGTAGAAAGCAACACTTGAAATGGCCACAAGCTGGTTGTTGCATCGTATAGAATAGGAAAAGTAAGCTTCTCTGTTCAAAATGATTTTAAACGCAATTTACTGAAATCAGCCACAATTAAGCTTCTATCATTACGGAAACCCATTGGCAGCTTTTTAAATCTGTTTATGAATGTGTGTGCAGGTTTTTGACAAAGCCTATCCTGCACAGATGCAATACAAAACCTTTTGCAAGAGAGGAGAAAAAGGTGCTCGACTCCACATAAGACTCTGTGACGAGACTTGACGAGACTCTGAGAGTTGCCTGGAGAGCAACTTGTGACCTCCTTGCTGGTCTTTCAGCACCAGACTGCAGATCGGTGTAATATTTTGACATCTTAAAGCAGATTTTGTGATTAAATGACACAGATGTATTATGTTCTATAGACCTGCATTCGCCTGACCTGGCAACTTGATGTTTGTATTTTGTCATTTTAGTATTACCTATTAGATGGTGCAGTGTATATTGGAAAAAATGTTGTTCAGAAGTCATGTCTGTTGCAGTATTTTTGCTTTATTAGCAGAGGATTTATGTTTCCCATTCCCCGACTTTTAATCATCTTCCTTTTTTTTGGTGCTATAGATACTTTTGTAGCGTCACTTTTATGTTCAAATTGTCATTCTGAAATTAAAATAATATTAATAATATTACAGTAAATATTCATTTTTTTCAAATTGGATGCGCAATGATAACCAGTGCATGTTATTCTGTATATTTTTCTTTTCATTCATTTCACCTCCTCATGGACTAAAGGAATCAAAGTGAAAAAATAAGAATAAAGAAATTATAATTAATCATTATGAATAGATGTCTGAAGAAAAAAGAGTGTAAGACTTAAGAAACTTTCTTGGCATGCCAGTTTCATTTGTGAGAAAATACTTTCTATGAATACGCATGTCTGGCCTTGAGAACTCTTTGAGCTGTGTTTTACCGTTTATATATTTTGTGTTAAATAAAAGCAGCTGTGTGACATTTGTCCAAGAAGAAAACAGATGAGCCTAATGTATCTTGTCAACTTGTGATCGTTGGAGCCTACCTTTGTTGCCGTGAAGGGAACTCTTCACTTGAACACACAATTCAGAAACCAATTTTGGATGTTTATATGAAAAATCTCCGTCCTGTTATCAGAACATGGTTATCACTAAGTTATAATATGCAAATGTACAATCGGACGTTATGCATCCACAGACGTTTGCTGTATCCCAAGTTCAGTTCAATGAATTTATGCTTCGACGGACCTGCTGTAGGATTGCACTGTGCTACTGAGGCAGTTGAGTGTGTGTGTGAATGTAACTCTGTGCTTAGTGTGTGTTGTGTTCTTCTGCATCAGTTGTGCTGCACTTTGTTTAGAGAGTTTAAATAAACGTGTGTATGCTTAAGTCTGCTTGTTGCTTTTCATATCAGTGTTAGAGATGGGCCACTCTTGATAGCTTTCATTTGTTCCAGTCAAAAGTTTTTAGCTAGCATTCTTCTGAAATGCATTCCCATGAAACCTTTCTTTGAATAAGAAAATTGAAAATGTTAACAGGCTAAAACGAAACTTTAATGATGAACATGTCATTATACAAACATAAGCATGTTAGTATGGGCTCAGAACAGTCTCATAATACACACATGCACACAGAAGGATTCACACTTGTATTTCATGATCCGCAAAAGGATTCACATTTGTATTTCCGGATCCACACTTGTGTTTTTCAATGCACACGCAAATGTGTTCCGTTTCATATACATGTAAATAAAATCCAAACACAGAAAAAAGTTTTACATACGTATTTTTGATCCACACATATTTGTTTTCCGTTTAAATCCCCTGAACCTGCAAACACGCTTTCTGTGCATGGATCGCTGTGCATTCGTGTGTGGGTTTTTTGAGANAGAAGTAGAAAGTACAGGTATTTGAGTTCAACATGTAAGAAGTAGAAAGTACAGGTATTTGTGTTCAACATGTAAGAAGTAGAAAGTACAGGTATTTGGGTTCAACATGTAAGAAGTAGAAAGTACTGGTATTTGGGTTCAACATGTAAGAAGTCAAAGTCAAAAATCGTCAGAAAAATAAGTAGTGGAGTAAAGTACTGATACCAGAAACATGTACTTAAATACAGTAACGAAGTATTTGTACTCCACTACT